TCGAACTGAAATTAGGTTGGATAGGTAAACTGAAGTCCTGCAAAAATGTATATGCCAGGTTGAGGTCTGACTTAAGAGTTCAAAAGAAAGCAGCATGAATGGTAGGTAGGTAGGTAGGTAGACAGACAGACAGACAGACAGACAGACAGACAGATAGATAGATAGATAGATAGATAGATAGATAGATAGATAGATAGATGGACAGATAGAGTGAGTGAGTGAGTGAGTGTGTGAGTGAATGAGATAGGTAGAGAGATTGTAAGAGCTATATAAATAATGACATAATGAAATAGTGAAACAGATTAACAGATTGATAGATAAGTGGATAGTAAGATAGAGATATACAATGAGGTAATGAAGGTAAGATAGATTAATAGGTAGCAGATTGATAGATAAGTGGATAGAGAGATAGAAAGCTATATAGTGAGACAATGAAATAGTGAAATAGATGAACAGATTGATGTATACGTGGATAGATAGTGATAAGACAGTAGAAAGATAGTAAGAGATATATAGTGAGATAATGAGAGTTAGATAGGTTCATAGATTGATAAGGATAGTAAGATAGGTAGAGAGATAGTAAGAGCTATATAAATAGTGAGATAATGAAACAGAGAAATTAATACATATATAGATTAAAAGATAATAGATTGATAGATAAGTGGATAGGTAGTGACAGTGAGATTGGCAAAGAGATAGTAAGAGCTAAATAAATAGATGAGATAGTGAGATTAAGACAGATTGATAAACGAGAGAGAGAGCATTTAACATTTTATTAAGTTCATAGTATGTGCCAGCCTCTGCGTAAGTGCCAGGCATATAATACAAGCAAGGACAGTCTTTACCTCAAGACTCTGACAAGAGAAACCAATAAAGTAGTATAAATGAGGGGACTATGTGTTAAAGGCACGGTGTGGGTATGGCTGCAAAGTGACTTGCAGCCCAGGTTCTGGGCAAAAGAAAGCAAAAGCTCGCCTCTCAGAGCCTGGTTACTATGGGCAGAGTCTAAGGTTGCTGGAGGGGGGAATGCTGGGAGAGAGCTGGCAGTGAGAAATGAGGATGATGGCTGTCGTCCAGGCAACGTGGTACACGGAAGCCCTAAGGTTCCCTGCAGGGATGTTCCAACTCATATTGTGACGGGATCCAGAAGGAGGTAGCATGTCATACTGCGGTCAGCGGCCCCAGTGAAACTAGAAAACCTGCTGGTTAGGCATCTCAGCTTTAAAGGGGAAGGGACCTCGGCAGTATGGCTACAGGTGCCATCACTCCTGACCTCTGGAAATTCACTGATTTCCCCGCCTATCCCAATTCAGATGTAGAAAAATCTCTTTGGGGAACATCTTTTTCCATTAGTTCAAATTAGATCTTTTTTCCTTTAGTTCAAATTAGACGAGATTGGAATCTTTCAAGGGCAGCTAGGTGGTACAGTGGATAGAGTGTTGGAGTGAGCTCAAATCCGAACTCAGACACTTACTAGCTATGTGACCCTAGGCAAGTCACTTCACTCCATTTGCCTCAGTTTCTTCATCTGTAAAATGAGCTGGAGAAGGAAATGGCAAACCACTCTAGTATCTGTACCCCAAAACACCAAAAAACAAAAAACAAAAACCCAAATGGGGTCACAAAGACTTGGACATAACTAAAATGACCAAACAAAAACAAGAATCTAAAAACGAGCTGCAAATGTAATAGAAAATAGATACAGAACCACAGAAATAAATGTTTACAGAGTGCAGGTTTCTTATCCCATTTTAACTAACAATGAGTCAGAAATTTTCTTAGCTGGTGCAGATCATGGGGCACCATGCCATGTTGTTCTTTTTTTCCCTTGGCTCTTCTCCACTATTCACTGAAAGTTAGATTCTAGGTGATGGCAATAACCTTGTAATTGTAAGAACAATCTAAACTCCATATATTCGTGAAGACACAACCCTTTGGCATGACTGTTTTAGAATAACTGTAATTCAGAGGGTCTTAACCTTTTATATTAATTCGGGGGTCTTAACCTTTTATATTAATTCAGGGGGACTTAACTTTTTATATTAATTCAGGGGGTCTTAACCTTTTTGTCTTACAGACACCCCTTTGGCAGTCTAGGGAAGCTTATGGCCTGTCTTCAGTCAGTTAATAAACATTTATTAATGTCTCCTGCATGCCGGGTGCTGAGATAAGCAATGGAGATACAACAGTCTGATGGAGGAGACAAGATGCAAGCAACTACATACAAACAAGCTACATAAAAGATAAAATGCTCAAAAGGCCTCATGGTGGAAAATGCTATCCACATCCAGAGAAAGAACTATGGAGTTTGAATACAGACTGAAGCATACTATTTTGCTATTTTTTTCTTCTGTTGTGTTTTGTTTCCTCTTTCTGGTGGTTCCTCCTATTGGTTCTAATTCTTACTTACAACATCATTAGTGTGACAATACATTTAATAGGAATGCATATGTATAGTCTATATCAGATGGTGTGCCATCTTGGGGAGGGAGGTGGGGAGGGAGGGGGAGAAAAATTTAAAACTCAAAAGCTTATGGAAATGACTGGCAATAAATCAAAATAAAGTACTAAAAAAAAAGTTTAAAAAAAGATAAATTGGGGATAATCAAAAGAGGGGAGGCCCAAGCATTAAGGGTCATGGGGAAAGGCTTCTCAGAAAACTAAATATATTGAAATACATATATCAATTTATTTTGAGTTCATGAACACTAAGTCAAGAACTCTTGTATTAATGGGATAAGTACACATTTTTAGTCTCTTTGAATTCCAAAGGAGCCCTTCCATATTGTCCAGTAGGGGGATATTGCCTGGGAGATAGGTGGTATCTGGTATAAAGACCACTTTAGCCTGGTTTGTGGCAAATGTACAGGGAGAAAGAGAGCCATAGATGAGTTACAAGAGTCCAGGAAGCCTTGGTGAACACATCCATTTCAGGGACCATCACTGGCCAGGGTAGCTAGCTCCAACCTCCTCCCCTCAGCATGGGAAACACAATTCACATGGCTGCCTGCTCTTCCTCAGATTTGGTCTAGATGGTCACATAGGTCCTCAGCCTCTGAATCCCTCGACAGGGCAGTTTTCTGAACAATAAACAGTCCAATCATTACCAGTCATGTGTCAGATCATCTCTCCAGTGGGAAGGGCTGGGGAGAGAGAATGCCCTCCTGAGAATTTTACTGAAGTGAGGAAGATTATGTCCAAATCAGGATCCAACTGAATATAAACCAAGACCAATCTGGGTCAATTCCAGCTTTTCTTTGGAGCAACAAAACCCGGGGAATTGAGATGAAAATTGGAAACTATTCTCAGAAGGGGAAATACAGGACAGAAGTTCAGTGCCTAAAAAAGAGACAACAGGCAGTATTGAGAAGATGACTCTTTGTTAGACTCAATCTGTCTCCCCAAAGATGGGCATGAGGTATTTATTCCAAAAGTCTTAGTGGAGTTTTAAGCTTGAAGCTGTACTAGGGCTTTTGGGACACCTTGTGTGTTCCCAGCTACTGCCTGGCACTATTAGGTTGATACAACTACCGACTAGGTCCTTCATGTCCCCGCCAGACCCAGCTGTGCTAGTAAGTCCTTGAGCTTAGGTGGTGAAATACAGTAAAAGAAACTAAAAAATATTTAAGGAAAAAAAGTTTCCTTTGGGGTATTCCTGTGAAGGATGGCTCTTTCACAAGTAGCTTGAGCCTTCTGAAAAACCCTGCTCCTGGAGGGGCAGTCTCCCCTGGCTTTACAGGGACCCATACTCCAAGAGGCTCCAAGGTCCATTAAATTGATCAGTGTAAATGGTTGGCACTTTGCTGCCAGGGTTATCTCCCAATAAATTGCCACCCTGGCTCATAGATCTATCTCTTGTGAAACTGATCATGAGTGTGACCAAATCCCCAAACCCTAGAAAGTAAGTCAGTCAGTGAACATTTATTAAGTATTTACTCTGTGCCAGGCACTATGGCGAGAGGTGGGGATAAAAAAATGAAAACACAGTACATGCCCGCAAGGAGCATAATCCTGAGCCCACGTGCTACAACTGTGGGACTCCATTTAGATGCAGTCATCTCATGAAGCCCTATTGGAATCATCTGGCCAGACTAGACATTACATGATGGCAAAAAGGGCATTATGCCACTACGCAATTCCAAATGAGCGCTACAAAGAATAAGAGCTAGGAAAGTGGACCTGAACTGAGCCTTGAAGGAGGGGTAGTATTTAAACAGGTAGAGAGAAGTGAGAGAGGGCATTTGAGGCAAGGGGGAAAGCATGAGCTAAGGTATGGAGGTGGGAAAGTGCAAAATATATTAGGGGAATCATTTTTACTAGAGCAGAGGACAGATTTTGACTAGCAATTCTGGCATCTAGGGTAAAGGCTATAGAATGAACTTGGGGCAAGGAACCCAAAAAGCAACACCAGTCACTGTGTTATTGATAAGGACTTACCGGGGATGTAGCTTTGGAAGAAGGGAGGAGGTGGTACCATCTATTAGCTTCCTAGTTTAACTCATTATTTTTGCTAAGCGTGTTATATGTGTGTTACGTGTTTTGTGTACATCATCTATAAAACTTCATTTCAATATAATCAGGTGTTTCTATCTATTGAAAGAATACAAGTACTCTCTGAATAATTACAAACAGAGAAATCATTTGTTAATCTAATGACTGCTTTCCAAGGTAGTGGTTGCTTCTGTGCTGAGACAAACATGCTTTTATTCCAGGCACGTAATGTCCACAGCACAGAATCCAGCTAGACTCCTTCTCCAAAAGCTTATTAGCTCTGGAAATTGCCCAAAAAGCTATTGAGCTGCTCCTTCCATGGCACCGTTATGATTGTCCTTTGAAGGGGCCACTTCATTGAATTCCCTTTATTATGTGGAGTTGTGGGGAGCTCTGTTGATTTACTGATTAGCCACATGAACTTCCGGGTTAAATGCCCCCATACTTTGGAGCTCTTCTGATAAGACTTGGGACAGGCAGTATAAAAGTTGGAAACCAACCCCTGCTAGACCAGTACAGACGGCAGCCATGGCAAAGCCCATCCTCCTCGCTGGTGAGTCAATATTCTAAGGGGAAACTCAATCCCTGGTGCCTTTCTTCCTTCCCTTTTTTTTCTGGGTCTTTCGTAAAGAATCACTATGTATGAAAACAGTCTCGGAGATTTAGAGCTAGAAAGAGACCTTAGAGACCATCAGATCCAATCCTTTATTTTTTACAAATGAGGAAACTGAAGGACAGATTGGTTAAGTGACTTGCCCAAGGATCACACATCTAGTAATTGTCTGAGGGGGCATCTGGACCCAGTTCTTCCTGTGTCCAAGCCCAGTGTTCTGCGTTCCTGTCTATTTTAACCTCATCATACTTTATTTTCTTCCATTCCACCTCTGATACTTTCACAACCTGCCTTACATAAGCAACTCCTGGACCTCAGTTTCCTCACCTGCAAAATGTAAGGGGTAGAGATTCTTAACCTGGAGTCCATAAACTCGTGATATATATGTGTGTGTACATATACACATACATACTTATATACATATAAATATATGTTACATGCTTCAGATGTCATATATAAACCTATTTCAATATAATTGATCTCAATATAATTGATAATTGATATATACACTTACACATGTGTGTTATATGTTATATATGTGTAATATATAACTATATTTCAATATAATTGGTTGGTCTCAATATAATTAATAATTGACATGTATACACGTATTCATAGATAATACATGTGTTATATGCTATATTGTGTTATATATAGCTATATTTCAATGTAATTTATTTCCTTTATAATCTCGTGAATTTTTTGTGTTCAAAAAATTATTTTGTGAAAGGGCCCATGAGTATCACCAGACTTCCAAAGGGGTCCATGACACAAGAGTGTTATGAACCTCTGTTCTACAACATAAGCTCCCCAAGGGCAGCGTCTACTTCATTTTTGTCTGTGTCTCCAGTGTCTTATGATCAAACCACCAGCAAGCATTTCCTAAGCAGCTAATGCTGTGCCAAGTATTGTGCTAGACAATGGAAGAGAGACAAAAATGAAATCATCCCTGCCCTGGAGGAGTTATTATACACAGTTAATAAATGCTTGCTGTGTTGAAATGAATTCAATGACATCTGAGGTCCTGAAATGGCCTCCCCATCTAACCTCTGGTTTTCTAGTTCCCATGACTGACTTCCTGTACTTAACTCAAGACCTCTTCTCTCTCTGCTTCTGATGCTGACACAGCCATATCTGAGAGGATTTCTTGACCCCATTTCCCATCTCCCTCTTTACCTCCCTCTTAAGTTTTTCCTATTTCTCCAGTTACCACCCTTGGTACTTCTTCTTGGTTTCTCTTAATTTTATTTACCAAATCAACTACAACAGCTGGGGGAAGAAAAGAAAAGCTGAAAAGTGAAAGTCTGTGTAGTGGAGAAGGGTCCAGGATGATTCATTTGCTCAGTTATGTAGCATCCTTTGTGGTAGTGAAAGCAGGACAGAGAAATTCAGCTGTACACACACACACACACACACACACACACACAAACACACACCACTTTTTTTTCAGATTAACTCTCCTTGACATTTTATTCTAACTCATTTGGTTACATGTACCATAGAATTTACACTGTTCCAGCAGTTACTTGAAAGATTCCATTCAGCACATTCTCCTCAAACAAATAGGATCTGATGCGAATCAGCTGAATGATTGGTCCAGCCCAAGGTAGATGATGGGTAGAAAGAAAGGATGATTCTGCAGATACAGACTCTGTGAGTCCTGGGAAACCTAGACAATATGCTGAGGAAGCCTGGACAATAGCTCTCTCATAGACAGCAAGCTTCTGGCCCCCATTCTGAGCTCTGGCCTCCTAAAGAGTCTGTCTCTGACATGGGAAACTTCATTAAGTGAGGCCTAGAATCCAGAAGCTTGGAGGGGATGTCCCTGCTCTCCTCGGCCCAAGGAAGGAGACATGATTGTAATCTTCAGTTATGTAAATGTTTTGTACAAGAGGGATTAACCTTATCCAAATTGGCTCCAGAGGTCAGAACTAGAGGCCATGGGTAGAAATGTCAGAGAGGTCGATTTTGGTTCAATGTAAGTTCCATTTAGAGCTGTCCAAAAGTGGAAAGGGCTGCCTTAGTAACAACCGCAACAAAGCATTTATAGTTTGTAAAGTACCTTATATGTGTTATTTACTTTGACCCTCACAACTCTGTCTTGGATCATTGTAGCTGAGAATAGCTAAGTCATTCACAGTCGATCATCAGACGATACTGCTGTGACTGTGCACAAGGTTCTCCTGGTTCTGCTGACTTCACTTTGCATCAGTTCATATAAGTCTTTTCAGGTTTTTCTGAAAGCATCCTTCTCATCATTTCTTTTAGCACAATAGTATTCCATCACGATTGTATACTACAATTTGTTCAGCCATTCCCCATTTTACAAATGAGCAAACTTAAAGGGTAAGTGACTAATCTAGGGTCACAGAGTTCATATATGTCTGAAGCAGAATTTGAACTCAAGCCTGCCTGACTCCAAGGCCAACACTCTTATCCGTTGATCCATCTAGCTGAAATAATAGGCTCTCCTTCCCTGGGAACCTCCCAGCAAAAGCTGGATGACCATTTGTCAGGGACCTTACAGAGAGAATTCCTGTATGGGTTAGGCCTGATTATCTCAGGTCCCTCTTTTCTTTGAAATTCTGTGATTCTCTGGGCAAGCAGCCTACAGAGTGGGAACGTCTGTATGAGTGAGATCTCACCACCTTGACTTCTGTGTGCATTAATTTTGGTTTCATCCTTTGACACATGATATTCTTGGCTTCCCTGAAAACCAACTTAAAACACTATAGCTGAGATAAATTGGACCCCAAGTACTCACAAGACCTAGGGCATGAAAACTATTGGAACCACATAGATCATTCCTGGATAGAATACAAGCTCCTTTACGGCAGGGACTATGCAATTTCTGTTGTCTCCTCAGAACCTAGTAGAGGGTCTGGTATGTATTATGTACTTAATAAATGTTTGTTGATTTTTTTTCTTCTCTAGGTCTGGCCCTGGTGCTGCTTACTCAGCTGGGTAAGTCACAGTCTCCTGCTTCCTCACTCCCCACCCTACACGTACACACTTGTTTTTACAAGATCCTCATAGACCTAGCCAATTCTCAAATATACAAACGGCAGCTAGTTGGTACAGTGGATAGAGTACTGGGCCTGGATTCAGGAAGACCTGAGTTCAAGTCCTATTTTAGACATTTATTACCTGTGTGATCCTGAGCAAGTCACTTAATGTCTGTCTTACTTTATTCAATTGCAAATGTAATAAAGGCATAATAATGTCACCTGCCTCCCAGGGTAGTTTTAAGGATCAAATGAGATAATATTTGCATAATTCCTGGCACCTAGTAGGCACTTTATAATTGGTAGCTATTACTGTTGTTTTTCTATCATTTCAGTCATATCCAACTCTTTGTAACCCCATTTGGGGTTTTCTTGGCAAAGATATTGGAGAGGTTTGCCATTTCCTTCTCCAGTTCATTTTACAGATGAGAAAACTGAGGCAAACAGGGTTAAGTGACTTGCTCAAGGTCACACAGCTAGTAAGTGTCTCAGAGCACTTTTGAACTCACGTCTTCCCGACTCCAGGTCCTGTAGTCTATGCACTACAATGCCCCCCAGCTGCCCCTCACTATTGTTAAGTGTAGATAATTCCTTTGTACAGTATAAAGGTCATTCTATGAGCTCAGAGAAGGCCAGTGAATTTTAGTAGCTGGAGCTAACTGGATTCAGAGTAGTCACCCTATTAACAAATCCCACAGGCAGGTGGAAATGACTTTTGGATAAAATGTTGCTTGGGATTCTCCCCCAAACCACTGCCCTCCACCAGAGCATTGAGAACAACTGTCTGTGATCCTACTGGGCATTCTATTAGCCTATAAAACACTGAGCTTTGAGTCAGAAATTACTGAGTTCAATACCTGCCTGAGACACTTCCTAACCTTGGACAAGTCACTTAAACTCTTTCTGCCTCAGTTTTCTCATCTGTTTATAGGGATCATAATCGAATCTACTTCACAGGATTGTTGTGAGGATCAAATGAAATAATGTACATAAAAATTCTTTATAAGTATTTATAAGTATTATAAGTATTTATAAGCATTCTAGTTATTATCATTATTATTATTATAAACTCCACTTAAGTGCCACCTCCTGTAGGATAACTGACCACCCTCTACTCTCTTACCCCCAGGTATTAGTGCCCTCCTCTACCCCCGAAATTACTTTATATCAAGTTCATATTTATATTACCTTATAACATACAAAATAATACCTTACATATAATTATACTATGTAACTACATATAATTATGCTACATAATTATATATAACATAATATAATACCTTATATTTACCTGTGTACATGTTGTTTCCCCCCATAGAATGTAAGCTTCTTGAGAGCAGAGATTGTTTCATTTTTGTCATTGCATTGCCAGTGTCTGGAACATAGTAGGGACTTAATAAATGCTTGTTGAATGAATGAATGAATGAATGAATGTGTGAATAAATGAATAAATGAGTAGGCTCTGCTGCTGTCCCCAACCATGACATTTCCTTCTTGCTGCCAACAGGCTCTGCCTACCATCTGACATGCTACTTCACCAACTGGGCCAGTACAGGCTAGGCCTGGGGAGCTTCAAGCCAGATAACATCGACCCCTGCCTCTGTACTCACTTGATCTATGCTTTTGCTGGAATGAGTAACAATGAGATCACCACAACTGAATGGAATGATGTGACCCTCTACAAATCCTTCAATGGTTTGAAAAACATGTAAGGAGGAGGAAAAAGCAGCTGGTAGTCTGGTGGTTAGAGAGCTGTACCTGGAGTCAGGAAGACCTGAGTTCAAATCTAGCCTAAGACACTTTGTAGCTGTGTGACCCTGGGCAAGTCACTTAACCGCTGTCTGCCTCAGTTTCCTCAACTGTAAAATGAGGATAATAACAGAACCTACCTCACTGGGTTGTTGTGAGAATCAAATGAGACAACAACTATAAAGAATTTAGCACAGGACCTGGCACATAGAAGGTACTTAATAAATTCTTATTTCCTTCCATTCCTTTCTATCCCCCGTTGGTCTAGAAATTCCCCTTTGACTCTGGAAGTTCCTTCCCACACTAAGATTTACAATTTACTCTAATGGAACAGAAGCTACATCCCCTCTCGTAATGAGGCAGCTACGTTTGTAAGTTGGGTATATGGCAGGTCAGCAAAAAGATGCCGAAGTTACCTTCTGTTTTCAAGAATAAACGCATTGTAGCCTTGGTCCCAAAAGGCCAGAGGACACTCACCGAGCATTTCACGCCACAAGGAACGTGTAAATAAGTGGAGGACAACAACCCCCAAAAACCCTCTGGCACCTCATCAGACTTGTTTCAGGGACCATCCTGTCTAGCTACCCAATGAGTCTCTCTGACTATGAGAAACTATGAAATGCAAGGAGTTTTTAACATTCCCTTTTTGTTCTCTCTATAGGAACAGTGAACTGAAAACTCTCCTGGCCATTGGAGGCTGGAACTTTGGAACTGTCCCGTAAGTCCAGTATCAGAACTAAAATCCAAAGGACTTATGAGCTTCTTCTTAAGCAGGGAGGTGTTTTGCAGAGAGGCTAGGTCAGATTTTCCCCTGCCCTGAGGAATCTTACAGTGTAAGACCGACACCATAACTGAGATGCATATACACTAAATAAGTAACTAGAGTAGAAATTGTCTGAAACAAAGGCTTCATTCTTCCTTGGGCTCCATTCCAGCAGATTTTTACACACCTAAAAGATGGGAAACTGGGTCCTATTCTCACTATCCAGCAATGAGACCTGGAAAAAATTCACCCTTTCTAAATCTCAAGTTTCTTCTCCCGAAAAATGAAAGTGGTAGACTCTTTGATCTCTGAGATCTCTTCCAGCTCTGATATTCTATAATTACTGAAGTACAAAAGGGACTTTGCCTGGCTTAGATCACAGCTGGGACGTGGTGTTTAGCAATACATATCACATTTAGGGACAGACATAACACTCTGGAGCACATCCTAAAGGAGGACGACCAGGATAGAGAAGGGACTCCTAGACCATGACATACAAGGATCTGTTAAAGAAATTGATCCTGGGGAAGCTAGGTAGCGAAGTGGATAGAACACTGGCTCTAAAGTCAGAAGGTCCTAAGTTCAAATCTAGCCTCAGATACTTACTAGCTATGTGACCCTTGGCAAGTCACTTAACCCTGATTTCCTCTAAAAAAAAAAAACCAACAACCTAAGAAATTGATCCTGGACAAATAGCTACTTAGGGGAGCCATGGTAACCATCTTCCAATATGTGAAGGGAGTACATTTATTCCACTTGGTTTCAGATGGAAGATATAGGAGCAATGGGCAGAAGCTGAAAAAAGGTAGATTTTGACTCAATAGAAAGAAAAACTGCCTTTAAAACTAGAGCTATGCAGAAAAAAAATGGGTTGCCTCAAAGGGTGATGAGTTCTCCCTCACTGGAAGTATTCAAGTGGAGAGTGAAAGGTTACTTGTTGGGGATGTTCTCGAAGAGATTGCTGCTTAGGCAAGGGCAACTTTGGATGACTTCTGAGGTCCCTTCCAAGTCTGAGACTCTGTAATTTCTAAGGATCTAGTTACAATATGATTCCACAGCATGAACACTGAGGATCTGGTGTACTGGAGTCAGTATATTGGATAGGGGAGTGAATGACAAAGAAATTATAGAGGTTCCTCATTTGAGGGGTTACCATTTTACCTCCAATTAGTTGGGGAAGCTATAGGAGCTCAGAAACTGTTTGAATGATAATAGATAATGATGAATTAGAACAGGACACAGTTGTTAACATTAAATATATCTAGAAAGAAGGATAAGAAGGGGGAAGGGAGGAATACATAAAGAGATCACTATGTTCATATTATTAGATAGGGCTGAAGTTACAAGAGTAAAAGAAGGTTAGGAGAAAACAGGAGAAGGGAACTGATCAGGCCTGGGATGCACTTAGAGCTTTGAAGAATTTGGACTTGTTCAACCATAGAGGAGGACAGTACAGTGAATCCAAAGGGAGATCAGAGTCTAGACATGAAGAGTGACTGAAGAGAGATTTTTAAAAAGGGGTTGGCTTCTAGAAATATTGGGAAGATTAAAAACAACAGGCTTTGGGAATAGAGAAGGTGGAAGGAGTGAAGGACACTGAAGTGCCAATTATCAAATGTTTGCAGAAGTTTCCACTTGAGAATAAGGGATAGTCATATGATGATTCAAGAAAGGACCATGTCTCTGGTTTCAAAGTGTGAGCTGGAGATGGGCACAGACTGGACTGTCTTATCAGCAGAGCTTTACAAATCACCCAGAAAGGTGAGGAAGTACACAGACTGGAGCAATCTGCACATGAATTTCCTTACTCTATCTTCTTTCTGTCTCCTTCAGATTCACCATCAGGGTTTCCACCACTGAGAACCACCAGACCTTCATCAAATCAGTCATCAGATTCCTGTGCCAGTATGAGTTTGATAGGCTGGATTTTGACTGGGAGTACCCTGGCTCTCGTGGCAGCCCTTCTCAGGACAAGAACCTCTTCACCGTCTTGGTCAAGCTGAGCTGGACACATCTCATTGCGACTTACCTTCCTACTCCTTCCACCATCTGACTCACATTGAGCCCTCGCTCTCTCCTGATGACACAGCCTCTCTGGCCACCTTTCCAGCACTGGCTGGGCCTTTGCTCATTGTCCCCAATTCACTGGTGTGGGAGTTGGAACACTCATTGCTTCCCATTGCCACTTCTAGGTTCTCTCTCTACCACCAGCAATCAGTAACCTTTCCTCCTTTGAGGTTCATTCAATCTATATTTATCATCCAATCAAGATTCTGCTGACTGTTGGCTACCAACTTCCCAGACACTTCTTTTCTTTCCTCAATTAATTAAGTGCCTCGCTCACAATCTTTCTCTCCTCCCCAACTTTGGCTTCAACTCCACCAAATATCCTAACATCCTAGCTCTTCAATTTGCCCATTTCCCATGACCTACTCCTCCACCCCAACTTAGCCACACAGAGAGCTTGATTTTGCCATCACTTACAAATGTACCCCATCTTCATTAATTCTGAAATGCCCTTATCTGATCACAATCTATTGGCTTTCCCCCTCTCCCTCTTGCCTTCGAATATCAAACTCTACTCTTCATTTACACCATGACCTCCAATCCCTCAGGTCCTCATTTCTCTCCTGGACCATCACCCCTGCATTAGGCATTCTCTCCTCTTTTCCCCATCTAGACTCTTTGGAGTCAGTTCAACTCTATACTGTCCTCTTCTCTCAAGTCCCTTGACCCTGTGTCATATTGCCAATTGTGCCCTGCCAAGTCTCAGTCTTACCATCATCACCGCCTTCACTACTATGTGTGTGCCATTGAACAAAGGCAGAGAAAATCACATAGCTATTATGACTGAGTGCATGACAAATTTTTGTTGCATAATCTCAACCAAGCCATCACTGCTGCTAGGCAAACCTTTTATACACCCCTAATTAATTCACTATCCCACTCACCCCAGACATCTCTCATCTCTCTATTGTTTCATAGCCTATGCCCCATGCCTGGAAGACTTACCCTCTTCATCTCAGCATCATGGAAGCCCTGGCTGCCTTAAAGTTTCAACTCAATTACCAACACTCCAAGAGGCCTTTCATGATTTCCTCAGTCGTTAGTGCTTTTCACTCCCCAAATTATTGTATTTATCTTGTATGCATTTTATATTTAACTATGTATATGTTCTTCCCTCCACCACCATTCCCCTCATCAATAAAATGTAAGCTTATTGAGGTCAGGCATTGTTTCATTTTGGATTTTTTATCCCTGGTGCCTGAGATTTAATAAATCCTTGATGATCTATGAGGTTCCTTGCAATCAATCGAGCAACAAGTACTTCTGAAAGTGATTACTACATACCAGGCATTATGCTGGGAGCCAAGGAGAGATCTATGTTCCCATGATCCTATGAACTGAATTGAACTGGTGCTACATATGAATGAATGATCCATGGAAGAACCAGGTTGAGTCTAGAGAGAACAGAGAGAAGCCAGAGAAGTCTAACTTTGGGCTGCTGTCCACTTGTTCTCTTCTGCTCACCCACAGGAAATGTGTGAAGCCTTTGAGCAGGAAGCCAAGCAGATCAACAAACCCCGGCTGATGGTCACTGCTGCCGTGGCTGCTGGCATCTCCAACATTGAGTCCAGCTACGACATCCCCCAGCTCTCTCAGTGAGTACTGCAGCTGCTCCTGCAAGTGTCTCTCTCTGGGGGTCAGCTGTCACTTGTGTTGGGACAGCCAATTGGCAGGTCCATCTCACTTCTCAGAAGGCTCCAGGAAAGGTTCCTGTTTTCCTATTTATCCCACAAGCTCCTTGCGATCTGGCCTTTGCTTCAATCCCTCCAGTGAAATTTGTCTTCAAAATTAACAATCACCTCTCGATTGCTAACTCCAAGAGTCTTTTCACAATCCCCAGTGCCCCCTGTGCCTAGTACTGTGCTTAGCATAGAGAATCTATTTAGTAAATGCTTATTGATAGATTGATCTTCAGCATTTCTTAAGTATTTGGTGCTATTGACCTCTCCCTCCTTCCTATTATTCTCTCCTCCCTTGTTCTTTTCACTCTCCTGGTTTTCTCGCTATCTCTTTGCCTACTCTGTCTTATTTGTTAGTTCATCCTCATCTTCCCACCCCTTAAGTAAACGTGTCCTTCAATCCTTGACTCTTTTCTTTCTTTGTTCTTCTATCTCACCTATTCCCTAATGTTGAATTATTACCTCTACACACATTTCTCCATTTTATATAGCCAACCCCAATATTTATGTTGAATTATTACCTCTGCACACATAATTCTCCAATTTATCTAGCCAACCCCAATATTTATGTTGAATTATTACCTCTAAACATGTAATTCTCCAATTTATCTAACCAACCTCAATATTCCTTTTAATTTTCAGTCCTTCATATCAAACTTCCTTCAACACCAAAAACTAAACACATAATCTTTTCCCCAAAACCTGCATACCTTCCCAACTTCCTTCTTTCTACCCATAGTATCATTATCTTCCAAGTCACTCAGCTTCATAAAGCTTAGATTCGTCTCTGACTCTTCGCTCTCCCTCATCCTTCACATCTAATCACTTTCCAAGTCTTGGCATTTTTATCTCAGCAATCTCTCTCTATCCTCACCTTTCCACTCACTCAGCCTCCATTCTAATCTAGACTATGATAATAGCTTCCTAAAGGACCTCCCTGCTTCCAATCCATCCTATATCCTTCCTCACATCATACCTACACATGTCACTCTTCTGCTCAATAACTTGTTACAAATAATACTCTTGGAAGAAAGTTGGGAGTGCAACTGGTTCACTTTTCTGGTCAGCAAACCTTGGAACTTTTCAAGCAAATGGCTAACAGGAGACCCTACTTAGTCAAACCCTAGTCAATAAGCAAGGATATCTACTCCAGAGAGAGGGAAAAGGGTATTTCATAAGGACTTGTAAGCACATGAGATTTTAGAAAAATTCTTAGCTCAATAGAGATTTACAAATCTAACCCAAAATGACTCACAAATTGAAAATACAATTCTTAGCAATAATTCTAAAGATATAGACACACATTCCCGTGAAAAGTACAGAATGACCTAGGCCCTGTTGATCTGCTTGTTACAAAGCCACCCAACCTCCCAGAAGGCTGGAGGGTAGTTGCTCCTGACTCCTCTGGCCACCCTCTGAGGTTCTGTGCTCTCTAATACAGCTGACAAAGGAGAGAGAAAAGCAAAAGGAAGAGAATGAAATACCTGCATGCATCTTTTATCTGCCCTCTGACCACTCCTTGTCCTGTAGTCATGATAGAATTCCCAAAGTACCTTCTACATTCTGTACATATTACAGCTCTGGCAGCTTGGAGAGTTCTCTTGATTTACAAGGGGCCAATAAAGTTAGGATCCATAGGGTCTAACCTGCGAATGGAAAGCTGCCTCCTCAGACCAGTCATTGGGCCGGCCTCTCAATGCTCCCTCTTCCAATATTTATCAGTCTATGGAGGAGCTTCGTTATGACTTCTGAATTCCTAATAGGTGGGAAGTAAGGAAGTGTTAATTAATCATGAATGACCACTTTCTTTATTTTACCATGGGTTGTTTTTTGTCTGTGTTTTCTTTTACAACATGACTAATATGGAAATATGTTTTGCATGATAACACATCTATATTAAATTGCTTACCATCTCGGGGAGAGGCAAGGGGAGGGAAGGAGAGAATTTAGAAATCAAAATTAAAAAAAAAATAAATGTTTAAAATTGTTTTTACATGTAATTAGGGAAAAATAAAATATAATTTAAAAAAAGAAAAAAATCACGAATTACAATATTGCCATGGATAGTTAAGAAAATACTTTCCTTAAAAATAAAAAGAAAGAGATTGAAGTCTATATTTGTGATTTAAAGCCTTCCAGAGCCTAAGTCCAACCTACTTTTCCAGGCTAATTTCACACTACTTCTCTTTTTCCACCCTACATTCCAGCCAAACTACATAACCCACCAGCTGTTCCCCACTTTCCTGTTCCCATGCATTTACATAGGCCCGCCTCCATGCCTGAAATGCCTCTACATCTCTTATCTGTTAAAACCTTTCTCTCCTTCAGAGCTCAGCCCTGGTACCATCTATTACCTGAATTTTCCCTGATTTCCTCAGTTGAAAGTACATAGTAACAGCACTTGTTTAACAGAATTGAATTGAATGGGAGGCTGTCCCTGGCAAGGGTACGGGAAATAAATAATCACCAGAAATCACCATTAATTCTGTTCTCCAGACTAGGTACCTGGACTTCTTCCACGTCATGACCTATAACTTCCATGGCTCGTGGGAGGGCTACACTGGAGAGAATAGCCCCCTGTACAAAACCCCCAGTGACACTGGCAGCAATGCCTACCGCAATGTGGTGAGTGAAGCCCCTGCATAGACTCCAAGGAGGACTGAAGAAGATCACTAGTTTGGGGCACAAGATGCACTATCAATTCAGCTATCTGATCAATTAATCAACTAATCATTTCTAATACACAGCAAAGGCATTAAATTGCTGTGGTTGGAAAATTGATCAATCCATTAGTAATTAAGTATGCAATGTCAAGCTTATTACTACCATGACCACCACCATCCCTCCTACTACTGGAGGCAGCTCAGTGACACAGTAGATAGAGCACTGGTCCTGGAGTCAGGAAGACCTCCAGCCGCAGACCCGCAAACACTGTATGACCCTAAGCAAGTCACTTAACTTCTGTATGCCTCAGTTTCCTCTACTGTAAAATGGGGATTATAACAGCACCTACCTTGCAGGAGTTGTTGTGAAGATCAAATGAGATGATATTTGTAAAGCTCTTAGCTCAGTGCCTGGCATGCAGTAGGTGCTATATAAATGCTTACTCCCTCCGAATTAGGGAAAGGGAAGAGAATGAGGATTTATAGAACACCTATGATGTGCCAGACACAGTGCTGAGTGCTCTACAAATACATAAGCATTTATACCGTGCGTACAATGTGCCAGGCACTGTGCTAAGTGCTTTACGAATCAATTCTCATTTAATACCACTACTGCTACTACTAACCTACGTTTATATAGGGTTTTAAGATCTTCGAAGCACTTTACATATCTGCTTTGATAGGTAGGGCAGTAAACTAATAATTAAGAATCTGCCTCCTGGATGAAATAAGTGTTCATTCATCCATTCATTTATTCAACAATCACTTATTAAATACCTATTATATGTGAGATATTGTATTGAATGCTGAGGAAGACAGGAAAATAAATTTTAAAAATTTCTTTGAGGGTAGATTCTCAAAGAGCATACAACCCTAAAGAAGAGAAAAGACATTTCTCTATTCATTGCAATACAATTAACTACAATTAATGATAGTTATTAATTCTAATTAAATATAATTAACTATTATACAAAACACAATATAACATGCTTAAGAGAAGTACAAACTTCTTGATAGCAGATGCTCACTCTGGCCACAGAGAATGTCTGAAGTTCTCATGTGGAGATTATAGGAGAGCAAACATTCATCATGGAATCATGTTCTAAAACCTGCCAGATCAAAACTCAGAGCCCAGTTGTTATTAACTGGGGAATCACTAGGGAATGCTTTAAGAAAGAAGAGGTATATGAACTGAGCCTAGCAAGATAGGCCAAGTTTAAGTGTGCTTCCATTGTGGGATTCTGTTATGAACTATTGGAAAAACAGTGGCGCCCCAGCTGAGAAGCTCATTATTGGATTCCCATCTTGCAGACACACCTTCATCTTGAGAAATCCTTCTGAAACTGGCATTGGTGCCCCTGTTTCTGGCCCTGGCCCTGCTGGTACCTACACCAGGCAGTCTGGCTTCTGGGCTTACTATGAGGTAAGTGTCTAGAAGTTGTATACAAAGGGGGAAAGACTATTGTTGACTCTTTACTTGTGAACAGAAATGTAAAGGGTTGCATATTCCCAGTGATGCTTAGCCTTCTTACTCTGTCCCATTTTCCTATAATTCAAAGCAGAAAGTAGAAGGGAAAAATCAGACATCTAGGGCTAGGACAGACCCCAGAGACCATCTAGACCAACCTCTTCATTTTAGAGAAAAGGAAGCCAAGAATCACATGAATTCTCAGGTCACACAGAAAGTAAGTATCAGAGGCTAGCTGTGAGCCTGGCTGCTCTTTCTCTCTTTCCACGGTACCACACTTTGTCCGGTTGTTCTTTTGTGCCTTAGAAAGGTGACTGGAAGGCCAGAAAAATCTGCCTTTTAGATGGACTCTCACCCAGGCCACAGAGAATATCTGAAATTCTCATCTGGAGACTGTGAGAGAGCAAACATTCATCATGGAATCTTTGTAAATCTATAGAGTCCTAAAAACTGCCAGGGCATACCTTACTAGGTGTGTAGAATCATAGAATGTTACACTTAGGGGTCTTGGAAATCATCTATCTGGACCAGGGGGTTCTTAACTTTTTCATACCATGAACAGCTTTGGCAATGTGGTGAAGTCTATTGGTCTTTTCTCGGAGTAACGTTTTAAGTAATTGAAGGAAATGCTAAGTTCCAGTTAAAAGTTGATGAAAATTAAAATGCAATTTATGGACCCTCTGATATATCTCAGGTTAAGAACTCCTAGCCTAGACTAATCCCCTTCTCTACATCTTTCAATATCCTTATAATTACTGAAAATCAATGGTCCAAAATTTATTAAGGAATTAGAATCCCAATGTAAAGTGTTCACAGATAGTATTACATACTCTCTCCTTGAACCCCTTTCTTACAAATTTTTTCCAACCTCTCTGCTGCATTATTCTCTTTTCTCAGATTTGCCCTTTCCTGAACAATGGTGCTACTCAGGTGTGGAAAGCTTCTAAGGACATTCCCTATGCTTACAAAGGCAGTGATTGGGTTGGTTATGACAACCCCAAGAGCTTCCAAATTAAGGTAGAGTATTTCCCTGGGCTCCCCTGAGTCAGTACATCTCTATCTGTAGCCCAAAATCTTAGGAGAATCCAGGAAGGCCTGGATCAAACATCTGTCCTGCCCCCACAGGCTGAGTGGCTGAAGAAGAATAACTTTGCAGGTGCCATGGTCTGGGCCATTGATCTGGATGACTTCACTGGGACTTTCCGTAACCAGGGAAAATTCCCCCTGATCAACACCTTGAAGAAAGCCCCAGGTCTGGAAAGCGCAAGTAAGTGGGAGCTGCAGATGTCCAGGGTCCCAAAATGCCCTTTATCTACTTCCCACACCTTACAATACATAAAAGATAACTCACATAAGCAACTGCTAAATGACTATCCCCATTCTTCTGAGAATCAGATACTCACATCTGTCCTTGTCCTGGCATCGTAATGTCAAGAACACAACTTACAGTGTAAGTGGAAATCAGCGACAAAGTAGGTAAAAAAAATGGGCAGATTTGTTGACTTTGAATAGTTGTAAGGCAGAATGATGGACCATCGTGGCTTGAATTTATGGGGCCACAGACCTAGGGCCAGAAGGGACCTCCAGCATCATCTAATTCAACCCCCTCTTGTTACAGATAAAAAAAAAATTGAGGCCCAAGGAGAAAGAACACTGGCTCTTCAAAGATCCAGGATTCAAATCCCACCTCTGGTGTTTAATTACCTACTTGACCTTAAGCAAACCATTTAACTTCCCTGAGGCCTCAGTTTCTTCCTCTGCAAAATGAGGGATGTGGAATAGCTGGATTCTTGTTACTTTTCAATCGTTTCAGCAGTGTCCGGCTCTCGGTGGTGACGTTTTGAGGTTTTCTTGGCAAAGATACTGGAGTGGTCTGCCATTTCCCTCTCCAGCTCGTTTTATAGATAAGGAAACTGAGGCAAACAGGGTTAAGTGACTTACCCAGGGTCACACAAACAAGTGTCTGAGGCTGGATTTGAACTCATGAAGCGGAGTCTTCCTGATTCCAAGCTAGATTTTTTAGGTCCCTTCAAACTCTAAGTCTATGTTCCTATATGGTGTAGACATGACTTGCCCAAAGTATAAAGCTTTACAAAGCACTTTTCTTATAACAACAAGATGGTGAAGGGGTAAGAGTACTGGATTTTGTACCATAAAAAGTGGGTTCAAATCTAGAATCTACCACTTATTTTCTGTGTGACCTTGGGCAAGTCCCTTAAGATTTGAACCTCAGGGGTCTCATTTACAGACAAGATGATCTTTCTGGTCCCTTCCAGTTCCAAATCTAGTTTCCCATGATTTGTGTGAGGTAAGTAGTACAAATACCATTGTTTCTATTTTACAAATATTCTCGGCCATAACATACACCATTTACAGATGAAGGCACGGAAACTCAGGGATTCATTGCCTTTCACAGAGTACATGGCAGATATAAACTCAAATCTTGGTTTTTTGACTTGAAGTTAAGCACTATTTCACCATGCTCCCCAAGTTCTATGCCAACCCACTTATTGTTCAGCCCTGTGGTTATTTCAAGGTACCCAGAAATCCTATATTCCAGAGTCATTCATCATTTCCTCTCCCTAATCATGTGAAACCTTTCTTTGATCATTTAACTCATAAGGTGATAGATGGAAGACCTGAGTTCATATCTGGTCTCAGACACTTACTAGCTGTACGATCCTGGGCAAGCCATTTAACTTCTGCTTGCCTCAGTTTCTTCATCTGTAAAAGGGGGGTAATAATAACACCTACCTCCCAGGGTTGCTATCAGATGAGATATTTGTAAAGTTTTTAGCACAGTGCCTGGCAAATAGCAGATGTTATATAAATGTTAGCTCTTATGAAGAGGGAGAGAAACACACAGTCAGAGAGAAACAAAGTCAGAGAAAAAGAGACACAGAGACATAGAAACTTGAAAGGGGAGAGAAAGAAAGTCAGAGACAATAAACTGAGAGGAGACACAGAGACTGAGAGGAGGTACATAGAGAGGAGAGACATAGACAAAGACTGAGACACATTGGCCTGATTCTAAAGACATTGTAAGGAGTTTAAAAAAAAAAAGAGGCTTCTTTCTTGTACAATGTTTAATGTGGCTTTTAACCCCAGGCCAATTCACCACTTTTGGTGTCCCACTAGCCTAGATGGAGTCTGGGGGGTTACAAATAGAATGAAATCTTTGCTCAAGTTGCAAAATCTAATCATTCCCAGTTGCCCTGATCTCTTATTCCAATGTTATATCCCCTAAATACTAGCTATTATTATTATTATTATTATTATTATTATTATGGCAGCTGGGTGGCAGAGTGGATGTAGTAACAGGTCTAGAGCCAAGAAAACCTGAGTTCAAAATCAGCCGTAGACACTTACTAGCTGCGTGACCCTGGGCAAGTCACTTAACCCTGTTTGCCTCAGTTTCCTCATCTGTAAAAGGAGCTGGAGAAGGAAATGACAAACCACTCCAGCATCTTTGCCAAGAAACCCCCAAATGGGATCACAAAGGGTTGGATTCAACTGGATAGCAACAGCTCAAATTAGCACATGTGCTGTCTTCTTTCATTATCCAGCCAGATAGTGAAATAGCAGACCACTCCAGTGTCTTTGCTGAGAAGAGCCCAGAAGGAGGCACAAAGAGTCAGGCATGACTGCAAATGGCTAAACAACAACCACAATTATTATCATTATAACATAAATATTAAGTGAACAAAAATGTAGCCTAAGTAGTTAAATACAAGAGAGTTTGGGACGGAGGGCACCAACAGCTGTGGGGGATGGGGAAAGGCTTCACGCAGAAGACAGTTCTTCAGCCCTGTCATAATGGAAGAGAGGGACTCTATGAGGGAGAGATGAGGAGGGAGAGAATGCCAGGTATAGGGGCGGCCAGGGCAAAAGCACAAAATGGAGAGATGAAGAATAATGGGTGAGGAAGAAGCAAAGTGCAAGAGGGGGAATGACTTCCAACGAGGCTGGAAAGACAGACTGTAGTCAGGTTGTATAGGGCTTTCAGAGATAAACAGAAGAATTTATATTTTATTCTAGAAGCAATAGGAAGCCACTAGAGTTAGTGGAATAAGAGAGTCAGGTCTGTATTTAAGGAAAATTACTATGGCAGCAGTATGGAGGATGGACAGGAGAGGTGAAAGACTTGAGATAGGGAGATCAATTAGGATTAGTAACTATCAATTTGTAATTAATTAGTAATCTAGGTGAGAGGTGACAAGTGCCCAAATTAAAGTTGTAGGCTGTAAGAAGGAAAAGAAGATGCAACAGATGTAGGGGTAGGCAGCAAGTTCTGGCAATTGATTGTTTAGGTAGGATGAGAATGAGTGAAGGGTCAAGGAGAATGCTGAGAGAACTGGAAAGATGGTGGTGCTTTCAGTAGCAATAAGAAAGCTTGGAAAGCATAATATCAATCAGCCGTTTCCATCTCTTCAGGACCTCATTTAGGGTGTGTTGTTTTGGGTTTTGTTTTTTTTTTTTGCAAAGATACTAGAGTGGTTTACCATTTCCTTCTCCAGCTCATTTGACAGAGGAGGAAACTGAGGCAAACTAGGTTAAATGACTTGCCCAGGGTCACATAGCTAGTAAGAGTCTGAAGGCACATTTGAACTCAGGTCCTCCTACTCCAGGCCCAGCACTCTATCCACTACACTCACCTAGCTGCCCCAGGAAGGGAGGATGAGTTTAGGAGAAAAGATAATAAGCTTAGTCTTGGATATTTGTCTAAGAGGTCTCCAGGACATCCAATTTGAAATGTCCAATAGGCCATTGATGATGGAGGCCTGAAGCTCCAGAGATGGGAGTCAAATATGAAGGTCTTTGGAGTCATTTACTTAATGAATGAGAGCCAAACACGTAGGAGGTGATGAGTACAGAGAGAGAGGGAGAAAAGAGCCTAGGACAGAATTTTGGGGAGCAAGCACAGTTAGGGAACTTAATGTAGATGATGAGCCAGCAAAAGAGACTGAGGAAAAGCAGTCACATAGAAGAAACAGGAAAGAATGGGGTCCAGAAAACAGAGGAGATTCGATTTATTAAATCAAAACCTTTGTGGGTTATTTTCCAACAGGGTGTCATCCATCCATATATTAAAATCACTAAAGATTCTTCCAAAAATAACCCTACTGGATGACTCTCTGATTATAAACGAGAGGTAAGGAATTAAACTGAGAGCTATATACACATTGTGATGAAGGAGATCCAGTAGAGAATCCAAGAAGAGGGTTTCCCTGAATGTCTTTCATCTTTCTTCCTTTTGTTTTGTTTTGCCTTGTTTTCCTTCATTAAGACAACCATTTATTATTATTCTGATCTTATTAAATTCTGAATAAAATGGGTGTTTCCACATACACAGCAAAAGAGAGAGAAAAGACTGTACAGGAAAGTGGAGGTTTCTTCCCCCAAGGACCCCCTTGCCTTCCTCTTCCGCATTGGGAAAAGCTTATATCATTAGGTGACAGAAGCCGAATGAATGATGATTCTAGGAAGAAGGAAATCAAATGAGCTTCCTTTTCCCCTAGTAAAAGTGTTAGCATAAAAACGGCAAGGAAAGGAAAGGAAAGGAAAGGAAAGGAAAGGAAAGGAAAGGAAAGGAAAGGAAAGGAAAGGAAAGGAAAGGAAAGGAAAGGAAAGGAAAGGAAAGGAAAGGAAAGGAAAGGAAAGGAAAGGAAAGGAAAGGAAAGGAAAGGAAAGGAAAGGAAAGGAAAGGAAAGGAAAGGAAAGGAAAGGAAAGGAAAGGAAAAAGAAAAGAAAAGAAACCAGACACGCTGAAAATACACGTCCATTAAGCGTTTCCAGGTTAAATTTAAAAAGCGGATCGTATCCACCTTTTACAAACCTGACATCTGGTGACTTTCAGCAACGGAGCTGAATTTAACAAAGACAGTTTAGAAGTGCCTTATCATCCCTATGACTAGAGAAAAGGCTGAAGACAACTCAGCGTGTTTGGGGAGTGATCTCTACGCACATCTGTTCACCTCTGCTCTGCCAGCCCCACCCCGCCCCTCCCCGCCCCGCCTATAGTACCTGGACTCCCACGCAATCTAGGTCACCAGCCTCAGCGCTCTCCGCCCTCCTCCGACCTCCGTTTCTGTTGCCCTGACAACCCACTGTACACATAGCTAGCGACATGAACTGGGAATGGCAGCTTACAGGTCAGTGGGGGTGCCTCCGACCAGCTTTTGGACTGGATAGGGGTGGGGTTGGGGTTCAGAAAGAGAAGGGATGGAGGCAACGTTCACATGTTGGCTTGCCATGGTACTACCATATGGAGGGCGCCACTAATGACGCTCCCCACTCCCCAAATCCACACCCACACTCAGCCACCCTCTTGGTCCTTCGGGGACACACACGTTCTGCATTGGGCATTTCTGCCCTTTCTTGATCTTCAGAAGCCCAGCTGAAATACTGTTTTGGATCATGCCAACCGAGGAAAATCTTCCCCATCCACCACCCTCCAAACAGAATAGGTAATAAGAATGTGCCTCTTGTGGGGGCACCTCACAGAGGACCTGGATGCTACCTCCACGAAGAGGTGAGTATCCCATCCCATCCCTCATCACGCTCTCTTGGGTTTAGTGGTCCTCATTTCTCATCTCTCTAGGATCCAGTGCGTAGCAGGAAAATAACTTCCCTATGCCTGACCAATCGAATATCCCACTAGTAACTTGTTTAATGAATTCTCACCTCCTTGCAAAAATGTTGTGTGCTGGACCTCCCCCAATCCCAGCATTAATCCTATGAGGTGAAACTCCCTGGGTTCCTCACTGATACTGTGTGCTCACCCTGCTCATTCATGATATTTCATACTCAGTTCCCTGTTTTTCCACTCCTCTTCGTTAATTCTGTATTGCTAAATCTTCCTCACTTCTTGTACTGACAATATCCAGTGATATGATGTGCTACCACCCCTTTAAGGAGTGTTTTCTAAAACATGCTAATATCCAAATAATGCTGGGTGCTGCACTTCCTTCTTCGCAATGACATTGAGGGCTTCACACCCGCTCCCTCCTCCCTCCAATATAATTGCATGCTGAATCTCCATGCCTCTGGCCAAAACCCAGTCACTCCATTGCTTCCTCCCTCTTGCAGCCCTGAGCCCCCTCAAACCCTCCCCCAACAGCCTCAAGAAAAGCCAAAATTTCCTCCACAGGCTTTTGGGACAAACCTGGTGCCTTCTCAGACATCTAATCTATGAACTTTCCAGAATACAGGCAATTAGGTAGCTTTCTTGTGACCGGCTGGACCAGCTTTCACCAGAAAAGCTCCTGGGGAAGGGTTCCAAAAGGCCAAAGGTTTGGGGGACCAGGGAATGGAAATGAGCCATTTTGCGGCCTGAACAGCATCTTTGCTCCTCAATATCTTCTGAAAATTCTTATAAATTTATTTTTGCCACGTACATAATTATCCTTGGACAGATTAGAATCGTATATTAAGAGCTGGAAAGGACCTTAAAAGTCATTTACTTCCAACTTCATCAGCAAATTCCAAATGCAGCTGCTTTTTTATGATTCCCCATTGGTGTGCAAAGATCGGAATGGCAATGGAGGAGAGAGAAAGGAAGGTCTCTTTGATACAGGGACTTCAGAATGAAAGAAAATCCCACATTCATTGATGCTGGGGTAAGCAGCTTGGTAGGACTGCTTCCTGACCTTGTCTTTTTACATGTATAAACTTATAGAAGAATAACCTGGCATACAACCTTGCTAAGATTCCTATGAGTAATAAGGGATATATCATTGGATCCAGGACGAGCTCACGATTTAAAGAAGGTCGTAAGGTTAGTGACAATTTCATACACTTTGATTTAAAGATCATCCATCCATGCATCTACACTATTCTGTGAGTTCCTTGAGAAAAGGAATTCTTTGTACCTTTCTTTGTCTCCCTAGGCCAAGCACATAGGGGCTTCAGAATGAATGTTTAGTGCCTAGACTTGAGTTGATTTGATTACATATATGTATGTGAGAGAGAGAGGGAGAACAGAAAGGCAGAGGTTGTCTAAAACTCTTCCATGGAACTGTATTTTCAGAGAGGGAGGACAAGGCACTTGATGATGAGATAGCTGAATCTATGTCCTTGTGATGGTAAAATAATGACAATAATAGTAATTCCTTTTTCTATAGGGCTTTCAGATTCACCGGTTGACTCACAACACCCCTGTGAAGTAGGGAGTGCAGGTGGTATCATCTCCATCTTAATATGAGCAAACTGAAGCATAGAGAGATTTAGTTATTCACCAAGGGTCACACAGCTAGGAAGCAACAGAGCCAGGACTCAAAATCAGCACTCTGACCCCAGAACTCTTCCTTCCCCTTACCCTTGCTTTTCAGTTCCTTTTTGTGTATCTTCCCTTTTTGTTCCTCTTTCCTCCAGCTCAGGGACTCTATTTTTGTACGCATTTGTATGTCCTGTACTTAGCAGTGTGGCACACAAGAAGCACTTGATAAATGCTAATTGTCTTCCCCCTTCTTCCACTTCCTTTTTTTTCAAATGACTTCTTTCAAATAATTGATAAATTACAATTGTTTAGATTGGGGCAGCTAGGTGGCACAATGGATAGAGTACTGGGCATGAAGTTAGGAAGACTCATTTGCATGAGCTCAAATCTGGCCTCAGGCACTTATTAGCTATATGACTCTGGGCAAGTCACTTAACCCAGTTTGCCTCAGTTTCCTCACCTGTAATATGAGCTGGAGAAGGAAATGGCAAGCCACTCCAGCGTCTTTGTCAAGAAAACCCCAAATGGGGACACAGAGTCAGAACAACAACAATTATTTAGATTTTCAAAGCACTTTACATACATTATTTCAATGAATCCTCAGAAGTCTGTGAGGTAGGTAATACAAGTTTAGCTATGAAGAAGAAGAAGGAGAAGGAGAAGAAGAAGAAGAAGAAGAAGAAGAAGAAGAAGAAGAAGAAGAAGAAGAAGAAGAAGAAGAAGAAGAGAAGGAGAAGGAGAAGGAGAAGGAGAAGGAGAAGGAGAAGGAGAAGGAGAAGGAGAAGGAGAAGGAGAAGGAGGAGAAGGAGAAGAAGACCACCATACTTTATAGATAGAGAAACCAAGACTCAGAGAACTGATATGACTTGTCCAAGGTCACACAGCTTAAAAAGGATAGAATAGGAATGTGAATTCTTGTCTTCTCACTCCAACTACAGCTCTCTCCATAGGCTCACTCCTTTAGCCTTTCCTTGCTGGAACTGCTTGTTGTTGACACTGAGATTGTGCTTTCCCAAGTTTTCCCAATCCTCCTCTGCTACATGGGGCCCAAACCGCTCATGATACTCTAGAGTTAATTCAGATTTAGCTTGAGGTTGATCTACCCTCGAGATCTACATGAACTCCTCCCCTCCCTCCCCACTGCCAAGCACCACCACTGAAAGCCTTAGTAGCCCTTCTTTGTATATATAAAATATATATTCAATGACTATATTTTCTTGTAAACAGGAGGTGATACCCAAGGCAATTTCACCCGACTCACTGAAAATTAAGCCCAAATGTGCTCCTCCTTCTTATGCTCCATTTAACTCCATCTCAAATCGATTTGATGACAGACCCACAGACTCATCATTTTTCCCTGGGTATGTCAAATCTTTGATTTTTCTTTCATGCCACCACAGCAGTAAGGAAAGTAGCCAGCTAGGGATGGTCAAACTATGTCAGAGTTAACCATTCATCCTATATTTAAATCCCCCTAGAGAAAACATGAAATATGACCTTCCCTAGAATAGTCACACATGCCTAACAAGGAATGAGACATAAAAAAAGGCTGCCTCCATAGTTTTATGGGAGAGAGCTAGCTTGAGTACTCCTAAGACCTGTTCCACAAGGAGTTCGTGCTATTGCTAATTATTGGTGGACTTCCAAACCCAGCAATTCTTAAACTTTTTTGTGTCCCTTTACCAATCTGATTGAAGCCTCTAGACTCCCTTTTTTTAGAATCCTTTTTAAAATAATGTTTTTAAATATATAAAATAAAATACACAAGGTTACAAGAAAAACAATTTTTTTTAAGTTTATTGACCCCAGGTTAAGGACCCCTGTTGCATTATGGTAGCAGAACTGCCCAACTTCATCTTGAATACCTGCCGTTAGCTATGAATTTGCAATCTTGTGACTTCCCAGCCACCTCCTGGTGCAGAATAGTCACAGAAATGTTTTGTTCTGGGGACCCTGGTACTAGGGAAAGGCAAGGCAGAGCATCTTAAATTCTAGCATTCAGTGAAACATCTACCTAAAGATCCCTTATTCTTTTCCACCCAAACAGGAAATGAATCAGTCAAACTTTCCCCATAGTCAGAGTGCTGGGAGTTCTGCAGTAATGCATGGGTTCTCATAGGTGGTAACAAAAATATTAGACATGCTATGAATTTGCTTCCTTAGCCCTGGAACCTACAATCCAGAGACCATGTGTTGTCGTAAAGTCACTTGGCCAATGAAATTTGGGTCTCCAGATTGGGCTCAAGTGCCAGTCCTAAAGAAAAGGACCCTAAAAACTGAGGTATGAATTAGAGAGATGTTCATTCATTCAATAGACTTTTTAAGTGAGTTATGTGCTAGGTTATGTGCAATACTTGCCTACCCCCAGGAGTTTAAGAGTCCAGTTGCTAGAAGAATATGTCAAGTGAGTTAGGAGATCTCCAAACATACCCACACAAAAGTCTGTGAATTTATGATCTGGGTACAAATATCTGGTAATTAGAAAAAAATTCTAAGACAACAGTTGTTAGTGTTGAGGAATTCAAAGTGAGAGAAATATTATTGTGGACCATATAAATGTAGAGTTATGTTTGTAATTTTTCATTTGAGTGATTAGCTATTCCCCCGGAATAGACACAAGCGGGGTAGTTGTAATACTAGGGACAGAGGACATAGTCCCCCTTGGACCACTGGGGAACGGAATGTTACTTTGAATGTGTGATACTCACCAGCATTATTTTCATTACAGCTGATAACAGACAAAGAATTCAGGATACATCGGAACCGAGAGGCCTACCTAAGCCTGTATTACAGCTGAGAGACCTTTCTGTCATCTTGTTCATTCCCCCGACCCTACCTAATCTTAACGCCATGAGACAAGGTACCCCTGTTACCCTCTTGTCCGCCAGGGTTGAACCTTCGGTGGGGAGTGGTTCATTCTAAGTTCCAAAATAGTACTCCTGAAAAACTCAAGAGTGTGTTGTCTTCATGTGTCATTTTGCTGTATATACTCAAGTCCACAGACCTAGTCATCCCTGCTGTGAGACCCCTAGGATGGCTTTATCTGGAGGGAGCACAATTAGCCACTCCCCACAGCTCCCCACCCCAGTGAGGTCAACAAGATCCTAAATTTAGAGCTAGGCAGGGCCGTAAAGGTCATTAGCCCAATTCTCCCATTTTACAGATGAGAAAAATGAGGTTAAATGACTTGCTTAAGGTCACCCTGGTCAAAGCCAGGACTCAGATTTGGGGGTTCTGTACCATACCACGTAAAGACCATTAGGTGCAGTGCAGGTGCAGGAGCTGGGCAGTACAGTGCTAAAACTGCTGGACTTGGACCCAGAAGACCTGAGTTTGACTCCTGGCTCTCAGAGTTAGGAGCTGTGTGACCATAGGCAAATAATTGTACTTATCTGAGAGCCTCAATTTTGTCATCTGTCTAATGGGGATAATAATAACTGTATTACTTACCTTACATGGGTTTCTTGTCAGGAAAGCATTTTAAAACAGTAATATAGCACTAATAATAATAATAACCTCCTAAAAAATAAATAATAATAAACTCCTAAGGTCATCTCAAGGTTCTTAATTTAGGATCAGTGAATTTTTTATTAATATATTGATAATCATATTTAAATATAACTGGCTTCCTATGTAGCCCTGTGTGTCTTGATACATTTAAAAAATGATTCTAAGAAGGGGTCCATAAGCTTCTCCAGCCTGCTAAAGGGGTCCCTGCCACCAAAAAGATTAAAAACCCCAATATACAGCAGTAACATTTGCAAAGCACTTTCTTTAAAACAATGATTGATGTAAAATTCGATAGAAATAGAAGCTATTATTATCCCAGTCTCCTTTGCCTCTACTTCATCACAGCTGCCACTGACCCACAAAGTGGGGGGAGGGAGTCAGGTGGCACCATGCCCATGCTGGCAGAGGCAATAGCCTGGGCTTTCCCCCGTGATGTCTCCCCTCCCTTCCTCACTATACACCCTCCTGGCAGAAACTGGATAGTGGTCATAGGAGTGAAGGGTGGAGGAGGTGGGGAGAGCGGAAGGAACAACTTGTCCTATCTTTGCTAAGGCTTAGCTCTCCAGGGAAAGAATGTCTTAGAGAGAAGGGGGTGAATGGGGAGGGCCGGGGTTCTTTCTTTCTTGATTTGCCCCTTCCAAGGTCTGTTTATCTAACACTGGCTTGATCCAGGCTAAAGATTTATAGCTGCTAGCTGCTGTGCTCTAAGAGATGATGCTCTGCCAAGCTGAGAGCAATGGGCACAGGTGCTTGGGACAGTTGCCAATCTTGGACCTGAGAATTTTTCTCATTATCCCTTAACAATGTCCCTTCTCCCAGGCTTCTAGTTACAATAGTCTGGACGTTGTACTATCTCCTGGCTGGTCATCTCAGCCACCAAGCATCTTAGTCCTTCTGGAATTCCTCCTCCTCACCCACCCACCATGTAATAGCTAAAATATCGACTCCTGGAAGCAACAGGCAGGAACCTTCAGTACGGGCGGAGTACAAGTCTCCTTTCCTTTAACAATGACATCCTGACTGTGCCAAGTCATTTCATTTGGGTTCAAGTCTAAGGGATCGTAGCTAGAAGATATCTGGAAATGTGTCTTTCAAAGCTGGCAACTGTGAAGTTGATGAGTGGGGAGCAAAGTGTCTATAAAAACCCAAGGATAGCTAGATGACGCAGTGGATAGAGCACCAGCCCTGAAGTCAGGAGAACCAGAGTTCAAATCCAGCCTCAGACCAAATACTTACTAGCTGTGTGACCCTGGGCAAGTCACTTAATCCCAATTGCCTAAAAAAAACAAAAATCCAAGGATAAATGTGTTTGGGCAACATCTCTATCACCTTCCCCCAAACCAATAGATTTTTTAATCATCCTCTTTAAGTAATATCAATGCTGCTCTCCTCTCCTCTCTTTACCTTCTTTTTCCCTCTGTTTCAGTACTTCCATCTCTTTGATGGCATCTCTTCCTGTGGACCCCAGATAGGAAAATAACTATTCAAAAACAAGCCTACCTAGGCTTTTCTTGATTTGTTCAGTAATCCCTGTGTGTCCGGCGCTCTCTTCTGTCCAAAAGACCCAGGTACACTTCAAGGGATTTCTCACACCTCTGGCTCAACCCATACTGTTGTCAACAAGTCCTCCTGAGAGCAAAAAAAATAGTTTCCAAAATTCAAAGAAGAAAAAAAGAGCTTAATTTCCAAATTGAGTGAAACAAAGAGAACTCTTATCAGAGCTCATGGAAAATATTGACACCCTCCAATAAGTAACATTTCTCTTCGACTCTTGTGGTCAAGCATTAAGTAGGGTTTTCTGGGATGGTTCCTCTTACAGTTCCTCAGGGTTTGGTCCCTACTACAAAACTCCAGAGTACCAGAACCAGTCACCGCATCTCTCTTCAGCTGGAAATCATGGCCAGCAGAGGGGGCGCTTTGGAGCCCTGGCCCATGCCACTGTTAAGTTGAAATGTGGAGCCAGATCACGGAGCCTTCACTCTGAAGCCTCTCCCTTAAAATTCAATTCCCCCAAATCTCTGGCTTCCGTAAGAGTTCACCCAGCGATCAGTGACACCCCATTCTCCTTACATCTTCAAGCAGACCTTCATTGACACTAGGTTGAATCAGGTCTAAACCCAAATATTACTGAACTGTAAGATTGTGTATACAGTCAGTCACAGTAACACCCTTAGGTGACTTTGCTTACCTGTTTACAGGCACTGCACATTGTGAGTGCACTTCGGTGTCTGTCTGATGTGTTGAATCAAAATTTGTCCCCGCCCCCCAAAAAAAGTTTTAATTGAAATCACAGTCTAACATCCTCTTCTCCCCACTTCCTCGGTGGTATATTTTTCACCCATATCAGCACCTGCCACGGGCAAAGAAATTTAAATAAAATGCCCACCCCCCATTTTACCTCCGTTTTTCCTCTAGCCTAATGGGCCCAATTAGGACTGAAAGGTGGGGTTATTCAAATTAGCCAGAATTACTGCGTGTATTTCCTTTATATCCCCAGTGCTTTGCACATAGTAGGTACTTAATAAATGCTTGTTGTTGGATGGTTTAAGCCAGGGATTGTCAAGTACTCCTTGATAGATATATGCATGGAGAGAAAAATTTACAATTCCTGTCGGACCTTTATATTCACTAGCTTACTATTGGGCAGTTCCCCAAAACTAAGTGGCAGTCCCTTCTTTAGCTCTCTTTTGTTATAAAGTTGTTTTTCAGTCCTGTCTGACTCTTTGTGACTCCATTTGGGGCTTTCTTGGCAAAGATACTGGAGTGATTTGCCCTTTCCTTCTCCAGCTCATTTTACAAGTGAGGAAATGAGGCAAACAGGGTTAAGTGACTTGCCCAGGGTCACAGTACGTGTTTGAGGCTGGATTTGAACTTCCTGACTCCAGACCCAGCACTCTATGCAATATGGCGCCACCTAGCTGACCCTTAGCTCTCTTACAATGCTACCAATCTGTTTACCCTAGGTGTGGACTTCTATTCCTATTCCCCTTTGTGAACATAAGGCAGAGGTCATTTTTCCCCTTCAAAAAAAGTTTTATTAACAATTAAGGAATCACAAGATAATAGGTTCCAATTTATTTCTGGAAGGGACCTTCAAAGCCATCTTATTCAACTACCTAATTTTACAAATCAAGAAACAGAGGCCTAGGTTAAGTGACTTTTCCAAGATCACACAGGCAACAAAAAGCAGAAAAAGAATTTTAACTCAGATCTTTTGACTCCAAATCTAGCATGCATTTCACTAATTAAGGTAAAATAAAGCAAACTTATAGAAGCACAGAAATACTAAATTACAGATCACAAGAATCAAAAACTGGGAAATGCTTAACCTAATTATAGAAGCTAGTACACGCTTCCTTAGCTAACTAGCCCTGTTCCCATCTCCAAGGGTTATAGTACCCTGAAAATAATCATAGATGCTCCAATATCCGTTCTGGGAGATGAAGAGATACTGAAAATTTATGACAAGGATTCTTAAACCTTTTTTTTTTTGTATCATGGGCCCCTTTGGCACGTTGGTGATGGACCCCTTCTTAGAAATAATATTTTTAAATGCATAAAATAAAACACATAGTATTTCAAAGGAAATCAATGATATTTTAAAACTGCTACAGAATTATTTTTTAAAACAAGTTCATGGACTCCAGGTTAAGAATCCCTATTCTAACCTAAGTTCAAATCTAGCCTCAGACACAAAATACTTCCTAGCTGTGAGACTCTGGGCAAGTCACTTACCCACAATTGCCTCACTTTAAAAAAAAATCCCTATTCTAGAGGCAGCTTGGTGGTGCAATAGATAGAGCACCAATCCTGGAGTCAGGAGGACCTGAGTTCAAATCTGGCCTCAGACACTAGACACTCACTAGCTGTGTGACTCTGGGCAAGTCACTGAACCCCAATTGCTTCGCTAAAAAAAAAGAATCCCTATTCTATGAAGGACTCAATAAGCCCCTCCAAATTAAATAAATATATATGTTGACCTTCAGAGCAAAAGAAGATACCTTTTGAGGAGAGCAAGAAGAAAAACACACCAAAATATAGGTAAGGAGTAAGAAATGAGAGCGGTAAAGAAAGTGTAGGTGACACAGAAACCTCATCTATCATGAAAAATGTCTTCAAGAAATCAATCAAACATGGTTCATTGACATCCAGTGACATGACAATGGACATGATGAGTCTTAGCTAGCATTCATGTAACTATTTAAGATTTGCAAAGTGCTTTATATAATTATTGTCTCATTTGATCCTCACAACAACTCTGGAAGGTAGGTGCTATTTTTATCTCGATTTTACAGATGAGAAAACTGTGACTAAAAGGATAAGTGACTTGCCCAATGTCACATAGGTAGAAAGTACCTGAGAAAGGATTAAACTCAGTGCTTCCTGACTCTAAGTCTAGCTGAATATAACAATTTCATACAGAAGTTTAACTAATGTTTAAC